TGTTTCTCAAATAAAAAGCATAACAATATTACAGCTTTCATTGATTTGTAAACCTGTAAGGTTTAAAACAAATAAAAATAAAAAGAACCAATTAATCGAATCGTATCGTGGTTTATTCTTGAGTATCGAAAATAGTCGAATCGTTGGCCGTTTCACATGTTTACACATTGAGAAATGGCCTCAAATAATATTGACCCTACAATCTATTGTCATTTTCTATCTATCCAAGACGCCCAGTTTGAAGTTTTTAATCTTATTTCAAGCTTAAAATATTTTTAAGCTTGAAATATTTCACTAGTTGTAATAAATAAACATTAGCATCTCTTTTTGAAATGATTGACAGAACCAGTTGAACTTTTTAATAAAGTATTGTTTTTTGGATTTTCCTTTAGTCTGTTATTTTCCTTACTTTGCCTGTGGGAAAGTTGAGTCTCTAGCGGTTCGAGTTCTAATCCGTTATCCACCTAAAGGGCTGGTTATCCTCCTGCAGGAGTGTGTCGCAGTTAGCATGTCGCAGGTATGACGCAGATATTTTTTGTTTTACACCCAATTTTGAAGCATGGTCTGCGCTACACCAAAACGGTGTCCTTGTGTCGGTTTGACGAGCTTGTTCAACATCTACAACCCCTCATCTAACGCTGGACGACACACAGTTCATCCGTGAGTGTTCCTCAAAAACTGGCCGTGGCACTGCGTGGCACTGTGGACGGCACTACAGCCAGAGTTTCTGCCATTAGATACCAAATATATGCATAGTGTAGAGCGGATGTAGCCTCCTTTCTCTCCGACCTGCAACGCTATGTGCGGCACCGTCTGTGTTCACCTACAATTTTGGGGAGGCGGGGCATATCTGCATTAACTGAGACACACACAGACGAACTGATTTCTGAGCATAAACCAGGCTTCACTCTGTGAATTAAGTTTCATCTAAACCCACAATGTAGTTCTGTACTCTGGCTGGGCCAATAAAACCTGATTTTTTTTTAAATTAAGCCATTTCATTTATTTAAAGAGGGGTTTTTTTGTTAAAAATCCAGAAATCTCATCTTATTTCTATCATTATTCCATACTTTAAAGAGATTTTTCTTAAATTATCCACTGAAGAAAGTTAAATTAAGGTTAAAAGTGCTGTTCAGAATATTTTCAATGATCCCGCCTCCACCTCCTGAAAACGGCGTTTATGTCTTCTGGATGGAATAAGAGCGAAAGGAGCCGCTTCGCCAGCGTCTGGAGGTGAACTTTCTGTAGTGTAAACAGGAAGTGGTGCCAAACAGATCTTAGTGTCCAAACTGGTCCCATTTAAAACCAGTTCTTTCCAAAACGGGAAAAGAAAGTTCTTCCTATAAATAAATGAGAAAGCAGCCAAAGCTTAAAGTAAAACTAAATTATCTGAAACATTTGCATAGAACCTCCTAATAAACCATAAAAAATTCCCTTATTATAATGAAGACGGGATCAAAATAAACAAACAGTGTGAAATGCATTCAGAAGGTGAAGGTTTAAACTATTAAAACCTTCATTTTTCGTTCAGTGTTTTTCTGCATAAACAGCAGGAATTCCATGAATTATTCAAACTCTGTCGCTTTAAGCTAAAATCAACGTTTCAATATTATTCTTTCAGAATGAGACTCCTTCCTGGAAAAAGGAGCAGGCTTGACCTTGCATCTGCTGTATCATTAAAGTCAGAGTAATGTTTCCCGCAGGGAGCAGAAAAGCAATAAAAACAGGCGGAAAGGAGGCAGATCTGAGGGTGAAAAGAAAAAAAGAAACAAACACGTCAGGGCAGACGGAGCGGGATGAGAGTTTGATTCCCACCTTACGGTTGCAGCAGACTCACCTCATGAATGCTAAAAAGGCAATGAGCGACAGGCTGACCACCCAACCGGCTTCGGCGAAGGCTCTGGGCATGGTCAGGGCTCCTGTTCCCACTATCAGATTGAACATGTACACCAGCCCCACCTGCAGGCCAAAACACAGAAACACACTTTAAGAAAGAGACCAATTCAACTTATCTGGTGAATTTAAGGAGATAATCTTAAAAAAAAAAGGTTAATCTTTTATTGCGACAGTAAGTCTCAGAGTGGAAAGGTTAACTCCATCTTTTAATCTGAACACATTTATTTAGCTAAAGAATCAGTTTTAACCAAAAACACTGATGGTGCAGATCTAGAGAAATCCCACAGTTGTTTTTAACTCCAGAGGTTCGGTCCAGTTCAGGGATCTGTAGAACAAAAACTTTTTCTGTTACGCAGATTTTAGAGCGGGACAAACGTCATGCAGCTGAAGCGGATTGTTTTGAGCTTTTTTATCGTAGCTCTCTTCATCATGCTAGTACATTTAGTAGATGAGATGTTTTCTTGCATTTGCTCCCTGACGTTTAAAGATCAATGTTCTCTGCTTGCTTTAAATGATAACCTGATTTCCTTTAAAGGAAA